TCAAAAGATGAAACAGGCAGCATCATCCATAATTCAGTTCTGGTTTATCTTGTACCTCCATTAATTCCAAGTAATCAGAAACAGGGTCTATCACTTCCACTGTGAAATTTCCATAGGTTACAACTCCAAGGGAGGAGAGATCAACGTCTGGAATATCTGCAATTTTTATCTCAGAAATCTGCAGTTACAAATTTACACAAATTTAGAACTGAAAATTGTGGATATAGACAACCAAATTAGACAAAATTAGGAAGCCTGAAGTAGCAGCGGACAGGAATCCTGATCCAGGTGCAATATCAAGAGAGCAGATGCAGTATCGAGATAGCAATTTTAATGAACAAGACGAGGTGCCTCAGAAGATAATAACATATTTCAAACTGGAAAAACATTCAATATAGCCAATCAATATCATACACAGAAAATCAAACTTCTATTCCATATGATCACTAGAGGCATAAAGCTTAAACTCAGAGGTACAATGATCTTTTCCTCCCTTAAAATCCAACCAGCTTCAGTCAGATTTATATCGTTTCATTTTAGCTCAAACTACTAAGCTTCGAATGAGAAGAAGTTGAAGGCTTTTGAGATACAAGACAGGTCACATAGTTCAGATTACAGGATAGATATGAATGAAATTTAGTACTGACAGGATGATAACATCCTCTTTACCAGAGGAACAAAAGATGAAATGGACCTGAGAGGATAAAGAGACATACTGAAAGTGTGTTTCCATAAATTTTGTCAGTTATCGATTCTGGTGCAGGTTGTCCGCTGCTGTAGTTAAACTGCAATGTCAACATGAGAGAATGACTGATAAATTACTAAATGAAAGAAGTGGAATAAACCATTCTACGTCAGATTATTCAGATATGAAAAGAAAAAAAAAAGTCCATTACAATAACTAGTCATTTAGATTTATCAACTCCAGCTCATAACTGATGATGGAACAAAGATATCCCCCCCATAAACAAACTTCAATTTCATAGTTCCAAACCAAGATTATCACCACACAAAAAGAAACCTGTTATATAGCTCTGCAGGTTATTCTCAGAGAAGTCCTTCAGTGAAACTAATCCAGAGACAGAAACAATTGTCAAGAACTCTGTTCTCATGAAAGGAGGAGGAAATTTGATAACCAAGTAGTAACATACTCACCTTAATGCCCCAGTCATATTCTGGTCCACCGGGATTATGACTTGCACTCATTATAAAACCACCATTGGCCTGCCAAGAAAATTTGATCCAACAGAAACACAACAAGACAGTCCACTTCCAAATAATATATAAAATGAAGCATACCCCTCTCTTCCTAATCACTGCAGAAACAGCTGGAGTTGACATGAGGCCATCCCTGCCAGGGCAATACTCAACATTTAGAATTCAATTCTATGACATAAATACTGTGAAATACTTTTTCAATAAGAATCTGATTTATTATAGAACTCAATAATTGCAAAGATCCTGAAATATTTATTACCAATGGGACAAAAGTGCAAGATCAGAACAAGAAAGACAAAAATTGTTATGATTAGAGGTTTTTATCTTAACTATTGGTCCCATTATCACCAGGTTTAGCTCTAAAGATTAACATTGTTGGCAGATTTAGGATTCCAAAATAGAAGAAAGTTCTCCACAGTCAAAAGATATGAATTTTACAGCTTCCATGATGGTTTGAAAGCTTCAGACAGCCCTATAGTTCAGGTTCATAGCTTAAATTTCTCAGACAGCTTAGACTAAAGAAAAGATCGCTCAGGTCATGTTAAAGGTTATTTGAAATGTAACACTCTCGATTTAATCTCACATCAAAAGTCGGCTGAGATGTATTTCGGTTACCTTGGGCTTAAACATTTTAGGTTAGTAGTTTAGACTTAACGAAGTTAATGAATCATTTATCCCATCAGGCTCGAGGGTTTAATTCTGAACAATGTTAGGTCTTGACGAGAATGTCAAGGCCCCTAATTTAGTCGCACATTATAAGTAAGCTACCACTTAAATTGGAATGATCTGATAGGTATACTATTGCTACCTTGAGATTAAGCATTTTGTGTTAGTAGTTTGGGTAATTTAACAAATCAGTTATCCCATCAAGCTCCAAGGTCTAATTCTGGGCTATGTTGGGTCTTGACAAGGACATCAAAACCTAAAGTAAGCAATTTTAACCACCCGATTTAGTCCTCTCGTCAGTTATCCCATCAGGCTCGGGGGTCTAATTCTTTATTGTGTTGGGTCTGGATGATGACATCAAGGCCTTGAGGGAATTTAACAGCCAGATTTAGCCCTCATCGAAAGTGGGTTACCTCATCATGCTCGATCATTACAATAAGATTTAGGCTCAACGAGGTTGACTATTGGCTGAGAGATCATGACGAATGCTATCAGAGTTAGATGGGGCTAAAGTTGGTCTAGTAGCATGAATTTAGGTAAGCTTTTATGGCAGTGATAACCAGAGTGGACAGACTCATTTGGATCAGCAATTACGATCCCGGAAGCAGTAAATCACTCACCTGCCAACAAGAATCTTTCCCACGCCATTCCCTGCAGCAATCTTGATGATTATCTGCATCCCTCAAATGACCACGAGAAGCAATCCATCACAAGCAAGAAACAAATTAATGAAGAGTGAGATACGGAAACGATTAGCTATCAATCAAGCTCCTCTCACGTATTCCCAGATGTCTACCTGTGCAGCCTCACGATTGAAATACCGACCATCGCCTCCCAATACCAGCACGCCACCCTTGTAATCCTCAGGAGGCAAAGAATTAAACAGCGCCTGCGCCACCCAGACCGCATAAGAGCTCCCTTCCATTCACTCATCACTTCAACTTGAACGCAATGAATTGCTCATACCTGTATCCAGTTTGCCAGATAATTCTCTTCTTGGAAAACCTTAACCTAAATCCACCACCAATTCAAACTCAGCTCGAAGCCATCATCCATTACAACCGCGAAAAAAGAACGCATCAAAAAGAGAGGGGACGAAGCACGAAAGAACCTTCTTCCTGAGCCCGCTGGTCCCGGTCTTCTGCCCTTCGACCGGCTTCGTGGAGATCGTTGATATCTGCAGAGACCTAGCCATTACCGATCAAAACAAAAATAGACACGAAAAAAAGGAGGGCCCTTCTTGGGCGGAAAAGAGGAATGAGCTGGAGACCTTGAGTTCTTCTGCCGTGGGCGGGGCCGAGGAAGCCTTCACCGCGAACCAACAACTCCTACGGGAGATGGGTGAGGGGAGGCTCCTTCGGAAGAGAGGTATTGGCCTCGGAGCCGCCGCCACCACTCGCGGCGCGGCAATCAAAGGGGAAATGGAGGTCGAGGGGAGCACCGAGAGAGCGAAAGAGCCCTCCAGTCTGAGAGATGGAGCCGTCATTGATGAACGAGTGATCTCCCTCTTGCCTTCTGCGTTGGGCTCGATTTCGAGTCGGCGGTAGATAAAGGGGAGGACGGGAGAGGAGAGGAGAGAAGGGATCGGATGCGTTGTCGTGTGGCGCGCGAGACCCGTGAAACCGCCACGTGTTCAAGAGAGGCCACACGTTTGGTCAGGGGACTTATCACTACAACATTGAAGGGTATACGTGTTCCGCCCAGAACGAGTCCAGACTTCAGTTACGAGTACCCGCTCAGAGCACACAAGACTCACTCGTCGGTGTGAAAGAACGAAAAAAGGGGACCCGCAGCAATTTCATGTGAGAAGAGAAAGTGTAAGGGATATACGTTGGGGACACGATATATTCCACATCGATCGCTGAGAGCCGGAGCGTCTCGACCGTCCAAACCTCTCCGAAATCAATGTCTTGTTTTCGTCATTGAAAATAAACAAAATGGGCTTTGGAAGAAGTTTCTGGATTTTCCTGTTGAGAATTATGACCCAAACATACTATTTTTAATGGAGAAAATTAGTTTTTTTATTTATGCTTTCGTATGATGATACTTAATTATATTATATAATATTAATTCATATCGTCTAATACGATAAATGATTTGGATACAATCGTAATTCTTTCCCAAATATGTTTTCGAATGAATTCACAATACTCAATAATTACATCCAATGATGTCTTAGGTATGTTTAGCAAAGTCTTTTCCTTTGAGAGGATTAGATTAAAGATATTAAAAGTGAATCTTAACTCTAGAGATGATATATTATTTTATTATAATACGATTGATGATCGTGAGACTTGAAGATCTAGTTATATAGTGGAAGCAATTACACATACTATTCAATGATGAATTGGTGGTATCCAAAAATCATGAGATTATGATTATGATTGTACAACTATCAAGTCACATCACCTGCTTAATGAATCAGGATCCACGTGACGTATGATTTAGAATGATCAAGGTATTGATCTTATAGAAGTGTCGATAGTATATCAAGTGTCATATTCCAATATCATATATAATCAATAATTTTAATTATTTATGATATTTGCTATATAATACAATATATATAATGTAATTAGATGATAGAAGGTGACGAGAAAGACGTGGAGGTAAGTTGTTTTATATGTTAAAGGATGATTAAAAATTACGTTGTACTTGGATCATATGATATAAGTTAGATAGTGATAATAGAAAAAGAAAAGAATATCGTATTTCGATTTCCCTTAATCACTTGTGGTAATAAAGAATATAAGTAAGATATCACTATAACATGATTATTTTCCTATCATTACAAAACAATTATCTCAAGCTCATCGATGTTTAACATTGGTTAATTTCGTAGATAGAGGAAGGCTTAATGTCCATAACACTTTTTAGTTTCCAAAGGTTAACTCAGTTCACTGTCACATGCTCAATTTCGAACTTTGTGTCAATATCATTGACCATGACAATCAATGGAAACAGTGCCTTTAGATCTCATACAACGTGTGTGCGATGCTGCTACTCGTCGCATGCTGATTGTGATCACATATCTGTATACGACCTTGACAAGGGCAAGCTTCTCCACACATCTTCTTCTTGGTAAAAGCCCAAGAGGAAACAGAGAGAGAGAGAGAGAGTGAGAGGTTAAATTGATGTCTACTTCATATACAACAAAGTGGGGTCGAGTTTACACAGCACAGTACACACTACAGAGTGGGCACCGATGCTTCAAACATGACAAACAACTGTGGTTGCTGATGGCATGAGGCGCCCGGCGTTTCCGTGGGAACAGTACCGTGACAGCATTCCTCCGGTGTCCCCACCGCCATTGTCACCTCAGACTTCCGCGGAGAGCGCGAGCGACGCCGCGGTCTCGCCGAGGAGGTCGTCCAGGATCTCCTGCTCCACCTCCAGCGCCACGTCGCCCGCCTCTTCCGTCACAAAGGGGTGGAGCAGCAGCCGCCGGACGTTGGCCTGCCGGAGGTCCCCCGCGACGAGGGCGTCGATGTCGCCAACCACGCGGCAGTCGGCAGCGGGGAAGCTCTCTATCTGCGCCACCAGTTGCTGCAGCAACGCCTCTCTTTCGATCATGCCGCAGTTGTCGCGTCTAACGAGACGGAAACTGCTGCTGCCGCTGCCGGTGCAGGGGGAGGAGAAGATATCGGAACGTCCTAGGAGGAGATCTCCCAAGATCTCCTCCACGAGATGGAATAGGAGTTTCCTGTTCCATCGGTGCCGCAAAGGGCCGACGAGGGCTCTGCCTTCGGTCTCGACCTCCGAGCCTTTGCACCGTTTCCCTTCTCCCACGAGCAAGAAGGGGAACTCGAGCTCCAGCCGATGGAAGACGATGGGGTCGATCGGGAGCGAGGGCGAATACCATCTCAACATGTGAGTTCCGCCGATTCCTGCACGCTCGAGTATAGACGTCACGTATCTGAGTTCTGAATCTTTATCCTTCGGTGCTTTTCGCAGGCGGTTCCGTTCACCGTTTGATGGATGTGAAGTACTTCCAATCTGTGTCGAATCAATATCAAGCAAAATACATTAAGGAAGAACAAGTAATTATTGCTCATTATCTCGGAGACGTGCGAGGCGCACGAAAGCTCACCGGCAAAGGCGGCCGTGGGACTGCTTGAGACGATTCGTTCAGTCTCGACGTAGTAGCAGAAGGTGAGGAGCTGGAATTGTTCTTATCAGGCTGGTTCCTCTGTGGTAGCGAGTCAGCTGAGTGAAAGAGTGATGCTAATGTCGGAAGCGAACGAGTTTGCCTCTTGATCCTCCCTGTGAATCGCTCGTAATCAGCCTTCCTGCACTTGTTGAGGACCACCTTGACGACCTTTGCTTCGCCATAATCGCGAGTATCTCCTACGGTTCTCGACGACGACAGTTGGTCGGGTGACCTCGACCGAAGCGCCATCGGAGGCTGCGCCAATGGCTTCCTGATGACGTCTTCAGTTTTGTTGTTTGCGACCTCCAAGAAGGGCCTGATCTGAGGCGAACAAGTGGAAGACGGGGGATCCGCCATGGCCAGTTTCTTCTCAGGCGGTCTGCTTCTCTTAGACTTGGACTTTATCTCATCTCCGCCACTGTCATGTTCACCACCGCCTCCTCTTCTGTTATTGAAACTTTCCTTCACTTGCTTGACGATCTCGCGGGCATGGTAGAGGCTCTTCGGGCTCTTGTTCTCATCATGATGCCTTCCACGGTCTTTCTTCCTGGACCTTGCAGCGGATGCGGAAGAAGGTAGCGGGTAGTCCGCAGACGAGTAACCGAACCCATGCACGGCCTTACGGGTGTTCTCCTCGTTGAGCTGTAGAGAAAGTCTGGCCTCCACGTCGCGAGACCAGGTTGACGAAACCCTCGGTGTCTCCGGCAAGGAGCGGGAGCCGACGACGTCGACCGTTCTAGCTGGTGGCGGTGCTGACACGTTGCAGTTCAGACTCCGGAGCGGCTGCCGCGGAGATGGAGACTCCCTCCCGCACCCATCACCGATAACGTGCCTCCTCTTGTTCGTCATTCGAGACTGCGCTTGCTGCTCCATAAACGGCGGCGTGTCGGGGGTCATCGGAGACAAGCACTGATCCGCCGGGATCTCCAAGCCCATGAGGCGCGCGATGACGCTCGGTGTCCTCGGCGTCTCAGCCTGCGAGCTCCTCTTCTCGTCCTCCGAGAACACCGTCATCTTGTTGTTGCTCTTCGATAAAGGAGCCGGCAATGGGCGTACTTCTACGCCAACCTGATCCAGTAGCAAACGATAAGCCATCGAAGACCACATCATCGTCTAGTCGGTGCAAACAACACACTCACAGGAACATCGTAAAGCTCTCCTTTTACGGCCGAAGTCGCCGACGATGCTTCTTCCTCACCCAGCTCCAGACTATTCCTGGGCGCCTCAAATCCTACGTACAACGCATGATGAGCAACCTCGCGATCTCGAACAACAATAGAGACGAAGGCTTCGGTTCTTACCTTTGCGCTGTGAAGTACGATTGGCACTCGGAGGCGATGGCAGGGACGATGAGGACGACGCTGGCGGAGGTCTGCAACTGCTGCTGCTGTTGCCAGTGGAGTTGGAGTAGTGAAACATGCAGCTCATGCAACCAGGATTGATCTCCTCGCGGTTGCCTCTACCCTGTGAAGGTCTCGCGCTCCAATACCACTCTCTCCCCATCCCTCTCCCTTCACTCCGATCTATGATACCTCTCGAACCGCGCTGGAACAAGCACTGCAATCTATGAAGTCGTTGGCACGAACTCCTCCTCTCTCATACTTGAAGGAATCAATCAAAGCGGAACTCAAAGTTTGGGGGCACAAACGAACAACGAAGGTGGACCAGAAGCGCAGAATAATTAAGTGGGGGACCGACAAGAACGGATCGGCCGACGAAGCACCGTTCGAGAACGGATCTTTTCAAAAGAGAAAACAGGGGTGTGGGTGGGCAAATAGTGACGGGAATCGGGCCCCAGGGCGAGGGTATGACCACGAGACCCCATGCAGGAAGAGTAGTAGTTTTACGGGGGGTGGGACGCATGTGATGGCGGTGAAACAGAGGCGGGTGGCGGACATTTGGAAGGACGAACATGTGCTGCGTTGCAGCCATTAATGTGGGTTATTGGTGCCTGGGCTTTGTTCTTTAGCCGGGGATGATCCGGCGAGCCAAGGAGAGGGCGAAACGTGCATGCGCGCACGGAGAGAGAGAGAGAGCGCTCCTATTTGAAATTTCAAAGGAGGATGGGGACGGGGAGGGTTAGGATGGCAGCAAAGGATGGGTTGGGTTTGACGGCATCTCCACTCCCATATTAATTGAGTGAGCGTACGGGCGGAAGAGGGTGGCAGGTCGGGAATTGGACGGTTAGTTAGGGCGACAATTGGGGCACCGCAGGCAGCAGTAGGCGCGTGGGAATTCCAGGCCTAGTAACATGGTAAATGTACCCCCTTCTGTTCCTGGCCCTTTTTTACGGTTCTACCCTTCGCATTATTCTTGAAAATACTAACCAATTTCGGGAGAAAAAAATATATATGAAAATCACTAATTTTGATTATTTTCTTCCTAAAATTCCCGAATATGACAATTGTTTACAATCATACCATCGATGTCATTATTCTTGAGATTTTCTCTCGGGTATGAGTCTGTGAGAACATCTGATCATAGGTTCATTTCGCTCTGTCACCATTACTAATGAGGGTAATAATGACGATAAGACTATGATTGACGTCAGCTGCTCTAGATGATACCTTGGTTGACCTGACACCACTTGGTCAAACGGATCGGAACGTCGACCGAGGCATATTAAACATCCTGCTTAGGCTCGGTCCTTCACGCCACGCCAACACCAATGTCAGACGCTACCAAGAGTACGAGCCTGCCCCCTACAAGCGGGTACATCAGGAAACAGTAAGCTTCCCTATAAATACCCTTGCATTCTAAACGAAGGAGAGAGGATGAGAGAACTTAGCTAAAGAAACCTCATTTACCATCCACTGACTTGAACGTCGGAGGGGTCGGGCCAAGCTCCCCGAACTGACCTTTGTGCAAGTGCGAAGCCGAAGGCCTCCACTGGACGCGCAGGTGAGGAGTTCTTGTTCGGAGGAAACGGCGATCCCATCCCGATCGGACCACCATAATCGACCACCTCAGTAGTCTCGAGGAACGTCCTAGGGAAATCCCCGTTATCCGGACCCGAACTAGGCTTAAGGTTGTTTACACTAACAATTACAAATACGTGCGAGAGTCGATTGCAGAAAAGCGCATGCACAGTGGTCGTAGTAAATGGTTGATGGCGAGAGTCGATTCCGCTTTCAGAATCAAAAACTCACAAACCGATGTTTTATGTTTCTGTAAACATTTCACGCTGCTGTTTCCGTTTCGGAAAACGTTTTCACTGCGTTGCCAATCGCCGTGGAAGCGGATCCGATGCGTGGGTGTTGTCAAACCGATGGATGAAGACAAATGTTTCTTGCATCATGCTTTACCCCTGCTGACGCCATTTACTTCCCCATTAATTACCTCGTCGGGGCCCATCAACCGCGCTGCGCACCATACGCACGAACATGCACGGAAGATTAAGGTCGTATGTACGATCTTGATGAAACTTGTTGAGATCAATTATGATCAAGGATCCGCGAGGAGAATCAAATGTGATATCGGATCAAAGGAGATGATAAAAGGACGATGATATAAATGCACGGTGGCGAAGGATTCCCGGAACAAGAGGATCGGTGTCGGCACCGACCTGAGGAGACACGGAGAGAGCTACCCGAGGACGAGATAGGAAAGTTACGGACCGTTCGAGGTTACATCATTGTACCATCCTATGTTATGTTTGAAGCTTGGTGAAAATATCTTTATGGTAGCGGTTCAATACCGGTACGTGAATTTGAATTGATGTTTGCATGAGTCGAAGCACAAGCAATAATCGCCGCAACAGATTCGCGACGTAAGCTTTCAAGGATATATATAGTTGGCATTTTGGACGTACTCGAAACCAAGGAAACTTAGTGTGCTAGTAATTTACGTCAATATTACATGATAGTGTCGACAAAAAAAGGTAATGGGGTATTTTCTTTTATTTTTTTAATAATAATATAGGGCTTTTATAAGTAGAAATTCATAACAGAAGGTAGTTCGCGATAACCGTTACATTCTTACATAACGGTATCGGTTTTGTGACGGTGGAGAGGGATGGACACTGAGAAGGCCGTCACCGTGACACGTAGCGGACGTGCATGCGATGCGTGCGTGCCAACGTCACGCCAGCTCATGCTCCCACGCTGGCCGTCCTCATCCGCTTCTTCTCCTGACCGCACGAGGATGGGCACAACCTGCGACGCGAACAAATAACAGGAGAGGCACCATTTTGATGGGCCTGGGGGATGTTCGAGACAGTAAACAAACTGAAGACTGAAGAAACCATTAATTAGCGACATTTCCCTGTACAACGAGATCGATGCGCAGAGAAGAAATAGATGGATGTTTACCTGCTTATCATATATAAGTATTTCTGCTATATCTTCTCCATGTCATTCCGTTATTCACTCGCATGACTATAATTCCGTTTATTAAGATGCACGCAAATTGAGATCAGATGTCGACGTCGCATACCGGCGTGCCGAGCAGCGGGACCTGACCAGGGACTCCGGTCTTCAAGCCGGCGAGCACGTCGCACCGCACGTACATGCTGTGCCAGCCGCTGTGGAACGGTCCCGACTTGAACCGCAGCCGACCGAGCACCACCAGCCTCAGCGCCACCACCCCGTAGGCCTGGTCGGTGGCCAGCCCCGCTGCCACGTCGCCCGACACCGGCACGGGCGACCCGCCCAGCAGGGGAGACACCGAGACCTCGCTGTCCCGCTCCTGGAACAGCGGCGGGAGCGGGGCCGGCAGCGTGATGGCCTGGCCGCGGTAGGTGGCGTAGGTGGCGAGCCGCTCGTAGCTGATGGAGGAACGGTCGTTCGGGTTGCGGATGAGGAGGGTGAACTGCATGGCGGAGGAGATGGCGGCGACGGGCGCGACGGTGGTGGCGTTGGAGAGGCTGTAGATGGCGGCGCTAGTCACGGAGAAGCGGGGGCGAGAGGGGCGGTAGACGAGGTAGACGGCGAGCGCGGTGACGCCGGCGAGCAGGAGGAGGAGGAGAAGGACGAAGAGGGCTAGGCGGCCGGGGTGGTGGTGGGAGGACCGGTAGCGGTGGAGCATGGGCTTGTGGGGTTTGCTGTGGCCGTCATCGTCGTGCATCTTTCGTGGGGGAGAGGGGGAGTGATGTGCCTCAGACATCCCGGAGACGAAGGGGGTTCGTAAGTGTCCTCAAAGTCGTGGTGGAGTGTCAGCGTATTCAATTCTGTTGTTTGCTTTGCAGGAAGAAACCCACAAATGGAGGCCGGCTTACGTTTTGATCCGGCCCGGCCCGTTACAAAAAGAGAAAAGTGTAAGACACTTTGATTTTGACTTTGTGTTGACCTCTAACAAATTGAAATTTAAATCTGGCCCCTTGCACCGACGGTCCATTCCATACCATGATATTATAGCCAGTTTATAAGCTATAAAGATCAAATATGACTGGAAGAAGAAGAAGAATATAAACCGTGTACTCTAGCTAGCCAATCGAGTGGTGAATGGGCTACAAAACCTGTTAACTCCCGTCGTCAACAAACATCCTTGCGGAGACTATGTGAGTTCAAGTCAACAACATACATGCAGCAAGCTCGCACTGCATCAGCCGCTGACCCGCTCGGTGATGGACTCTCTGGTGCGTTCGGAGGATGTTTCCAGATCACGCGCTTGGCCATCATCTTTAGGTATGATCAGGCCGTATCCACCTTCTTTCCTCTTGTACAATATGTTTATTTCACCTGCGCAGGAAATAATTCATCTTCTTATGCTGCAGGACCACCAGAGGAAAGCAATCTCCAGAAGAGGGAGCTGATTTAAAGATCTACAAGGATGATTACCGGTTTCATCGTTCCTGAAAGCATAAAAGCTGTGATCGACATTCTCCAGCTGCTCTTTTGCCTCGTCAACTGTTAGAGGTGGCATGTCAAAATACTTTGTGCGCACAATCTGAAATAGAGAATGATTCGTTAGTAAAACCAGATCATACTGTTCCATCCTAGGAATACTTTCGTCTGCTGCAACAAATGGTAAACAGTAATCATAAAACATCAATGATCCATCAGGAAGCAACTGTTGTGGGTCTCACAGTTCTAAACCAGCAAAAAAGAAAAAGAAAAAAAATCCATACTACTTGATCTTTCCATGACAGTTAGTCTCATCCAGATAACTCATTTTGTGAAATTACTGTCTAGATATATGGATAGCTAAGGATCTACGAAAGATAGTTGAAGAACATACGCATTGAAGTAAAAAAAGGGAAGTATGCGTTTACTAAGCACAATGCATTAAATGTCGGAGGAAGACTGCTCTGGTAGTTTGGCACAAAAATGTGCCGTAGCTATATAACACATCAAAGATTGCACTACTTAAAAAGTAACAAATGCATTGCTAACAATTTTTGCAAGGTGTAACAGCGCAAGAGTGACCATACAACACTTCTAAAAGCCCGAAAGTGTTTGGAACCAATATTTGTAAGCGCTCTTCATATAAAGAAAACTGCAATACTTGTCGCGGCGAAGTGAAATCGAACTACAGCAGAATCACAGTTACTAAGTGGATCTAGCACACTAAAAACTTACGATACAACAGGTCGAACAAAAAAGAGCATATTTCTCTAGCAGACTAATTTAAATGAAAATATCACTACCACTTTCTTGGAGGCATGTGATTATTAAGATAGTCAAGAATTATTTTTAACACAAAGGATATCACTAAGAAACTCAAGGATTGTGCCATCATGAAATTGTATCATAGAGCCATCTTCCACTCCAACAAGCAAGGACAACATAAAATAATTACACATATTCTGCAAGAAACTAAACATCTCATGAACATAATTCCAAAACAAGCTTGAGGCCAAAGTGCTAATTCTTCCAGTGTGATCCAGCCAAAGCTCATACTAAGTTCAGATATTTATAACCGAGTCATGTTCTAATATAATGGTAAGAGAGTTAACAAAGATAGCTATCACATAATATCATTGTTCATCCCTAGTCAACACTGTAAATTAGATCCAATTTTAAAAGGCAATGTTGTTTTCCCCCTCAATAGAAGTAGATGCATACGATGAACAATATGATACAAAAGAAATGTAACCTAAATTGCGAATCAAAGTCCTAAATGATGCATATGATCCAGGTCACATGGATTTGGATACAGATTCATACGGAAACAGAGGATAAATCGACACTGTTCATACTCCTTTTCCTTTTCTCCAAAGAGTGCACTATGACCAGTTAAAAGACAACGCCAAGAAATTAAACGAAGCATGAAACAGGCAAAGCATGATGTGAGCGAAGAACATTACCCGACCCAGACGTTCCACATCCTCTTCCGCAGGCGCAAATTCCTCTAAATCTTCTACCTCCTCTGCATCCTCGACTCCCTTCAGCTCTGTATCCCGAACCTTGAGACGGTTGAACCCTTTCATGTGCCGCCCATGGTCGGTGTCTTTCTCCTTAATCTTCCGCAGCTTCCTCTGCAGAACCGACGACACCAAATCGATGCTCCCGTACATCGTCTCCGCTTCCTCCTCTGCGCGAATCACCCCGTGCTTCTTGCTAAACAAAGTGACCTAAAACACGAGAAAGTCACCACCTTTGGAACAGCAGCATCCAATTCGAACACTCTGACAACAATCTGAGGAATTTAGACGAACACCTCGCATCGGCAAAGCCGAGGGCCTCTGCCGACTTCTCCGCCGCGAAGGGACAGCCGGACGTCGACCTCACGGACAAGGTAGCTGTGCTTCTGCACCGCCTTGCCGACCTTGTCCTCCACATGCTTCTTCACCGCGTCCGTCAACTAATTCATGTCAAGAAAAGCATCAAGAAAGCACCCAATCACGCCCCCAACCAAACCGATGAGCAAGAACACATACGTCGAGGTTCTTCCCTTGGATGATGAGTCGGACGGAGGAGAGGGGACCGTCCCAAGACATCCGGGCGGCGGAAGAGCTCTTCTTGCCGGAGCGGAAGGAAGAATCATCGAGCCTGATCGCGTTGCCGAGGAACTGGCAAGGAAGAGACCGAGCTGTTCTCGCCGTAGCGGTCGACGAGAGGGGTTTCTGGGCGGAACGTGAGCAGAAGAAGGTGGGATGGAAGACAATGGCAGCCATCGCTCTCAAGACTGGCGATGTATGTAGGGAGAAGTAGTAGAGTGTTGGATGAGTTGAAGAAACGAGAAGAGGAGAGGAGAAGATTCTCTAAAGAAACAGAGATGGGAGAATGGGGTGATGGAGATGATCCGTATACGGGAGAAGATGATAGGATGGATAGGATATGGAGAGGAGATGGTCCTGTGGATATATATGAAGTCATTAGCAACGCTGATGGACAAAGACACGGACACGGACAGGGACAAGGACGTGGGTAGATTGGAATGGGGTAAACGGGAAAAATCGGCCTATTTCAGCTATTATTGGCCAATGGTGAGTCGACATGTCAGATTCCTTGGGAGGGGCCCTTCACAGTTATTCATTTTACTCCTTTTTTAATACACATATTACATATTGAGATGTCTAGATTGATCGCTGTTTGCGTCTATTATGCGCTATGGGACTTATTTGCAAGATGATCAGATTGGGTAGATGTGAAATTTTAATACTTATGGGGGTACATCTACAATTTATTCCCGTAACATTGCACCGATTTTGGGGTACCAAAAGGGCAAAGGGGAAAGTGAGCCCTGGTAAGCATCTCCTTGGTACCTCGTCGACCGATCTCCTCCGATCTGAGCGACTCCTCGCGGCCGATCTCACGCATTCGCGGCGAAAGGGTACGGATTACTTCTTATTCTTCTTGCTTGCTCGGATCGTGTTTGTCTTGAATGTTCGATGATTAGAATGATCGTTGTAGGGTTTTCGGCTTGGTCTCTTAGACGAGTACAAGGGAGAATTCTTGGCTGGCTCGTTCATCGAACTCGGTATGCTTCGATCTGATATTTTTCGCATGTCTGCCTTTGAATTGATATATCGTGTGGATGATTGTGCAAAAATGGGGCTTTTTCTGAGTGAAGTTTGAGCAGTGGAACGCTGCGATCTGATTTCGTGTCCGATCTCGAGTTGAAGTTTATACCTTTGGAGTAGATGGTAGCTGTGAGTTTCGTTTGCCTGCAAATTATATTTCTGAATACATATCTTGTATCCAGATGTTTGGTATTTTTGGGATGCGCTCTGAGGAGGTATTTTGTCAGTCTGGTGGCATCATTTCTATTTTTACGTACATTGCATATATTGGTTTAAGAAAAAAAACAAAGATTTCTTTCTAAAACTTTTCCGTGCTTGAGCTCTTCCATGTTTTTCGGGCGGAATGTTGGTATTAGGAGAGCATTGCATTAAAATGGATATGTAGAACCCCTGGCTGTTATACAGAAGTATACATTTAGAATACCTAGCTGTTATACAGATCTATACGTTTTTTTATGGAGTCATTGAACTCATACAAGCAGCTTGTTCTGACATTATGTCCAGGCCCCTTTTGAAATGGCTATCAGGCGGCTAATTATGATTGTAAGGTGGGAGTGGTAAGACTCCATGGAGAACCGGAACATGTATGCAAGATAATTCTCAGATAGATGGTGATTGATATGTAAGGTGTATCATGGAACAGAATGAGAATTTTATGATGTGATTGCTTCCATTTTTATCAAGTGATGGATCATGAATAATTTTGCTTGACATAAAAGGAAATAGGCCATGTACTCTTGGGCTAACTTTACTGTCTTGTTTCCAGCTTGTAGAATTGTCGTAGCATTTTTCTAAGTATGAAGTTTGATCTTTCTGATTGTGCTATACAATTGATTCACTATTGTGATGTTTTGTCGTTTTCTCAGGAATTTATGTGTGGTACGTGTTTTTACTTCACTTAGGAATTTACTGATTTTACATTGGGCTGAAATATCATTTCGATAATTTACAATTAAATTTGTGTTTTTGCAAAAACTATCTACTGCAATCCCCTTGTAAGAAGCATGTGAAGATTATTTGTTTGGATTAGTCTTTAAGGGTTGACACACAATTCTGCTAAGTGAATCTCAAGATCACAGGTTGAGTGATCTTGAACTGTACAAAGAGTCTTTGTTTGTTTCAATGTTGTTGTATCACTTTGCCATATGAGTTCCATAATAAATTACAGTTGCTGCATAATCAAATATTGGTGGACTATTGCATGATAAATGAAATTGTACTTATTGGAGTTGGCTTGTCATATGTCAGATTAGAAACAAAAGAGCAGCTACTTCAACAAAAGAAGCAATGCTACGAACAGGGCACAAGGAAACAGAAAGTCATGATAGCAACAACCAGAAGGTTTATCCTCAACCAATGGATGACAGTGTAAATCAAAACAAGAAATCTATGGATGCACTTGTATCAAAGATCTTCAACAACATTTCCTCTCTCAAAGCAGCATATATGCAGCTCCAGAATGCTCATACCCCTTATGATCCAGACAAGATCCAGGCTGCTGATAAACTTGTTATTGAGGAACTCATGAAGCTTTCGGAACTCAAACATTCCTATAGGGATAAAAATCCCAAACTGACATCAGCATCACCTAAAGATTCATCCCTACTTGCAGAAATTCAAGAGCAACAAAACTTACTTAAAACCTTTGAAGTAATGGTAAAAAAATTTCAGTCTCAGATTCAAACAAGAGACGTGGAGATTGTCCAACTGCAGCAACAAATTCAGGAGTCAGGCCAGAGAAAGCTGAAATTAGAAAAGAAACTTAAGCAGAGGGGTCTGCTCTCCAAGGAACCGGAAGGCTTTGAAGAAGAACACAATTTCTTTTCCATTGAGTTGACTCCAAACCTTTTCTCTTCTGCTGTAGAAACAGCATATAAATCCATCCATGATTTCTCAAAACCACTGATTAACATGATGAAAGCTGCAGGGTGGGATCTTGATGCGGCAGCTAATGCGGTTGAACATTCAGTGATCTATGCAAAAAGGGCTCATAAGAAGTATGCATTTGAATCACACATTTGTCAGAAAATGTTCAGTGGGTTCCAGGAAGAGAACTTCTCAATGGAACCATCTGAACTCCCCATTTCTCATGAGGGTTTCTTCCGCCAATTTCTCGCTATAAGAGCCATGGATCCTCTGGATATATTGAGCCAAAACCCGGACTCAGTATTTGGTAAATTTTCACGGAAAAAATACCTATTGGTTGTGCACCCTAAGATGGAAGCTTCATTCTTTGACAACCTGGATCAGAGGAACTATGTCATGAGTGGTGGGCACCCGAGGACACCTTTCTACCAGGCTTTTCTAAAACTGGCTAAATCAATATGGCTGTTGCACCGGTTAGCAAATTCATTTGATCCCAAGGTCAAGGTTTTTCAGGTGAGTAAAGGAACGGAATTCTCAGAGGTCTATATGGAAAGTGTTGTGAAGAACATAATTCTGGCAGAGGGAGATTCCAAACCTAAAGTTGGGCTCATGGTCATGCCAGGTTTTATGATTGGAGGCAGCGTTATACAATCTCAAGTATACCTTTCAGGTGTGAAGTGTGCCGAATGAGCACCGAGCTTCGGTTTATGCTTGTTCGGAGAGAATTACCATTCACTGCTCTTGTCGAGATGCAGTTCCATGGTTCCAGAGGGGACCTATGTTTGCTTATGCTATCTGCTGGCAAAGTGATTCTCGAGGAGATAATTACTTTGTATTCGAACACCACCATGTACTGTTGCTACTTCAAGGTTGCAAGTGTAGATATTATATTAGGTGCTGTTTGCTTGATACTTGTGATGTATAATTGACTCCAGGCCTAATAGTTTTAATTAGTTATTTCGCATTTTATTCCGTCAACTTTTTGTTGAACGAGTAATGTTCCTCACATGTTGATTTTGTTGGCAAATACCCCCCAGAATCCAGGATCTGTGCATGATGGGCTGTGATTACCTCCATGCAGATCTAAACTTCACATATTTGTAAGCTATGATTATCTCACTACCATAGGGTTCTTGACATAATTAGACAAAACTTATTTGTGGCGCTGTGTGTCTAAAGGTGTAAAGCATTGCCTGTGTGAAAGATTGTTAACAATGTTCTAGTTATAAATTTGCAGGCCATAATATATAATTCTTATGAACCCTTTTCGCAGAGGATATATATATATATATATATACTCGAATAAATTTTGACCTTTCCAACAGTGATTGAGAGTTATAACAGATAGGAAATGACAGATAAATTAAATTAATTAAACATGCATTTTAAGTCGTTTTGTCTCCAAGAAAAGCGTGTTATAAACAATTCTTTTGCCATTGAGGAATTAATATGCAAATATCTTCTCACATCAAAAATTAAAGGGGCAATGACGCTATTTCAAAATTACTAAGGGCAAATTAGTAAAAGAACCACTTTTCAAAACCCACCCACCCACCCGTTTTGCCCTTTCCGTGAGAGAGCACGCGCGCGACCAATGGGGCCGTGGAAACCCTGAACAGACCCCCGTTGTTGATGACTTCCACCGTGGACGGCGGCGTCTTTAGCAATGAATCTCCGTTTTCTTCGATTTTAATCGTCGTTCCCGTCGAAATCAAGGTTCGCTTTTCTTCTCTCTCACCTGACTTGTCGAAAACGAGAACGTCATGTGCGTTATCACCGTACGATTTGATGGTATTTGGTCAACTAAAGTGTTGTTTCCTCTGATTAGATGGTGGAGGAGCGTTACATGGACGGTCATCGATTCATCAAGATTTGTCCTCGGAAGACGGATGGCGATGTAAGTAATAATTTTAGCTCATCTGATTGAGATTTTGCTTACTTGCAGAACATCAGATTACGTAAGGTTGAAGATTTATTCCACTGCTTTCGAATGTTTCAATTGGGTTCTTTTGCTTCAAGCTTAGTTGTTCTTGGAACATTCGTGCAAGTGCAATCCGTGTGTCGTCGAGTTATTGCTCAAACGAATGATTAAATTTGGTGGAAACCAAAGTCTAGTCGGTCTTCAGTTGGAAGTTCTACTGAAAGTTTGGTGGAAACCATAGTTTGATTCAAATCAGATCGAAGTCGGAATCGAACGGGGCCGAAGGTTCATCGGTTCCAAACCGAACTGAAATTGGCCCCGGGTGATTTGGTTCCGTTTCTAGGTTTGGGAAATCAGAACTGCTTGTTTAGAAATCGATGGTTCAAGAATCGGAACTATTCGATTCGAATAGTCGGTTCCGTAATTTTAAATTATTTTTTATTATTCAAAAATAAATTTATGATTTTTTTTTCATGTTTTAAATTTTTTTAGTTAAAAATAATAAATAACCAAGTACAACAAAGAAATCAATAATGTGATCTTAAATAATAAATCGGTAGATCAAACCCAAAACCTACGAAATGATATCTATAATCATTTAGAAGCTATTTTAAGTGATAAGGCACAATAATTTGAATAATGTGATAATAGTTATTACATCATGGACCATGTTTATAGTAATAAACTGACATCACAACATAGATAAAAGTAATAAGGAGACACAACACAAATGGTATAGGACAATGTTTTCACGCTCTTAGGGATTATCTATGTGGATACTTATTACATATCAGTTTACATTCTCTGCAAGTGCAGGTGCCCTAATCCTCAGACTGCAGTTGCATGGACCTTTATGCAATGTGGTACCTAAGACTGGTATTGATCATTGGTTGTGACAAGGCTTGACACAAGGAATTTAACTTTATGGAGTTTCTGATAGAGACCATCACATCTTTCCT